TAATGGGATGGTTGTTTATATGGGTGGTATTAGATTTTTGTTTATGTTTCAGATTTTTGTATAAAAATAAATACAATTTTAGACCACATCAACAGAAGCATAATATCCAATTACAGAAAGTCACTGTTTGTTTAATCAGACTCCACTTCAGGTACTACATTTAGTTTAATTTAAGAAGGATTTCGAGAAACCGGAATGGATCCAGAGAAGGGCAACAAGGGTGCTCAGGGATTAGAAATTAAGTTGTATGAAGACAGACTGAAGAAGTTGGGTATGTTTAGCCTTGACAAAAGAAAAGGGGGAATATGACAATACTCTTCAAATATCTGAAATATATCACTTAGATGAAGATCAAGACTTATTCGCTCACATTTTAGAGTTCACTACTGGCTTCCTGTAACTGAAATCCAGTATTAGAAATTAGGTAACAAGTAATGAAACCTTATCTGTATGTTATAGCAGCATGACTGCATAACATTAAACTCTTTCAAATTTTTATTTCAGAAAAAAGTCTGAAAACTGCATACTCTTCTCACCACAGAAAGAGAGCTGTGCTCTTACATCATATGGATTATCTTCAAAGACATTTCAACCTTTCAAGAGAAGGCATGGTGGAGGAGGCTTGGAAGAAAGTTTCAAAGGCCTACTGTTAGATTCCAGGCTAAACTGCAAAAATACAGTATTCCTTAAGAGCATAGTAAGATGCATTGTCTTACTATCTGTTATTCAAAAGCTCTAATGCTAAACCATAGTTCAGCATTATAAGAACAGCCTACTTAGGCTCAGGTTCACATGCAGCAGCTGGCCTTCTTTGGAGTAGCCTGCCTGGCTAGTGATGGAAGAAGGTGCCCCACTTGCAAACCACTCACAGCAACTGGAATTTGCCTCAAGTGATCTCCAGATGTTGCTGGTGTGCAGCAGCATAACAGAGAGCTCACAAGAAGCAATCTTCTTTACCTTGCTCTGTTCTTTCCAGAGCCGGCTGCTGTTAATTTTTTACTGCTTGATTGTTTGTCTGATGTTGTTTACTGCTTATTTGTCAGGTGTTAATTGTTTACTGTTAACACCAGACAAACAGTCAAACAGTAAACAACAGCCTAATCTAGGAACTACCAGAAAAAAACAACACCCCCTCCAACGCTGACTGGGCAAGCTACTGCATATAAACAGGGAGCAAACCCGACTCTTTTCTAGCACTGAAGATGTTCCCTAGTTCGGCAATGAAACGTCTGCAAGAAAACCACCAAGCTCAGAGAATCCCAAGGACTCAACAGTTCAACCCTGAGCTACAGATATTCTCTTCTATTGGTGTACAACTCTGCCCACCATCCACTTCACTTCACTGTGCATTCGCGACCTGTAACTCGCCCAATTTCAAATAAACATGCAGTCCATCAAGAAAAAGCAGATTAAAATAACAATATAAATAAATACACACGGCCTGCACTGAGCAGCCCGGAGAGAGCTCAGCCCTTTGTTTTGTTTTCGTTCCTTGCTCCAGGCAAGCCGGGGTCTCCTGATCCACGTGATCTCCCCAGGCCTATCGCACTTGAGCGACAACGAAGAGGGAGTGAGGCCTAAAAATAAATAAAGCTCTGCAAAAGGACCTCCCAAAACCCATACTGTACTTCCTCCTCCGGAGCGGTCCAGGAACGGCCTTCGCCCCTCTCCCACCTCCTTCGGAACCTTCGGGCCCCGGACCTGGCCGGAGCGGCTTCCCGCCGCGTGCGCGCCTGAAGGGGAAGGGGGCGGGGCTAGCCGTGGCCCAATCCCCTCTCTCCCCTGCTCACAGTGCAACGCTCCAGGAGACCAGAGAAGCTCTGGGGAGCGGACGGCGCGGCGCGCGGTTCTTTTCCCCGGCTAGCGAGAAGGTACAGTAGAGGAGAGGCGGAGGGGTGGTTGGTTGTGCGCAGATGTGGGCTACGGCCGGGTCCCCGGGCTTGTGCAACTGGTGTGCATGGCGGGACGTGCGTGCACCGCAAGACGGGCTGAAGACAAAGCGGCTGCGCTCGTTGGGAAACAATGCAGTAGCGCGGAACCCTTGACGTTGGGAGTCGGGCCTCTGGTTTCTGCCGCCGCCGCCCTGAAGCTCTAATAAAAGTAATAAATAAGGAAGCACGACTACAATCGATTTTGCCCGATTATGCTTGCTTTCTTTTCCGAAAAGAAGGAGCATCGCGTGTAGACTTGCTTTCTGGGATGTTGTATCTGCCGTGATTGTGTATCGCGGTGCTGATTACGCTGGAGGTACGAAGAGGTGAACATGGACCAGCTGAGGACAACTGCTAGCTTGTGATTTCTGACTCGGTCAGACGTTGAAAGCTGCGAGGTTCTTTTATTTAGTTGTATGCGACCCTTCCTGATTTGTTACCAGCGGCACACACTGAAAGAAAAATAGCTTCTTTCTGATTATCTAATCCACTATCCAGGTGACTGAAGGTTAAATTCCAGCTTACAATATGGTATAATTAATCGTAACTCGGAATAAAAAAGAATCGTTGGGAGAGCTATTGTAGATAACATTCAGATATTAAATATATTGTGATTAGGCAATTAAGCACAAGTGAAACACCTAAATAATTAAAGGCAAGGGATATTTGCAGTTCACTTATTTTATACTGCCCTTGATTATATGCCATACATCTCTAGTTAGTTCCTGAACATATTTTACCAAGTATGCTTTAGATCTGTAATTGTACGCAAGTTGTGCTGATCCTATGGTGACAATGACTAATTTTCAAATAGTTGTAGTTTATATTGTAGGGTGAATCTTGTGTATGTAGTAATGTGGGTTATGTGTTATGTGTTAACATAATGTGTTATGCTTGTTTGCCTTGTGCCTCATATTCCTTGGCCTTTTTAATGCCGTTTTGCTTTCGTTTGTACTGGATGCTCATGTTAAACAGCATTCTCAGTTGGTCCAGTAGGATGGACAAGCACCTACCACAGAGGTAGGACTTACTGAATAGCTTATATTGCCTTCAGAAGTCAAAGAGCCATTGTTCATGAGTCATCTGCTTGCAGCCAGAATGATAAGTAAATATTATTGTCAAATAAAAACAGGCAATGAAACCTTAAATGCTGATGTGCTCAACCTAGGTATATGTACGAGGGATGGCAGATAGGAGACAATACACAATATCCTTGTGTATTGTGTAGTCTCAATACACTAGGATGTCCAGTAACAAAATAGAGTACATGTCAACTTATGGTAGGCTCTCTGTTGAGTTGCAATCAGTTGATCAAAGCTAAGGTAACTGAAGGGTTTTTCATACACAATTTTGGGGAATGGTTGTCTTTTTTTTTTTGCCTTTCCTCTGAAAAAGGTAACAAATCTAGCAGTGGTACCTAGTTGTTATTAACATGTAAGATCGTATTTTCTACGTACAAATTTTCTGTAAATTATCTTCCATTAAGTTGATTTAAAATAGTCTATTTTAAGCTTGATGTTTAGGATTTGTTAACTGCTGGTTAGTGGTCTGTGTACCCAATTATAAGCATTCCTGAATAGGAATTTGACTGTTGTCTTTAAAACTTTGAACAGCTTTCTCTAGTATGGAAAAAAATAAATGGGAAGTCCTTTATTCTATGGAAGGATATAAGATTGAGATTGTGTTGACTGCAATTATATAAATGTGTGAAATTCTAACTTGTATTAATTCTTTGGTTGATATTTTTATTGCCTTAGCTTTAAAAAAAGTTAATTGTTTTGAAATGATAGGTTTTCTTCCAATTCAGAACATTTCCTTTAAGCTGACTGATAAATATTGCTGAAACATAAATCTATATATTGTATAAAAACTGAAATAGTTTGGTGACATGCAATGTTGTAGTAGCATACAAGCAACCCAGCTTATAAAACAACAATTTCAAATACTGTGTAGTGTTAATTTGTAAGATTCTGAGTCAGTCTTATGCAGTAGTTGATGACCTCTCCCAGTCTGACAGTGGTATGATGACTAACCCTGAAAAGTACGCTTTCTGACAACCATTTTCTTTTCCAATATTACTTTTCAGAATTAAAGCAAAAAGATGAATGTTGGGGTTGCCCACAGTGAAGTCAATCCCAACACAAGGGTCATGAACAGTCGAGGAATGTGGCTCACGTATGCCCTTGGAGTTGGTTTGCTTCATATTGTCTTGCTCAGCATTCCTTTCTTCAGTGTTCCAGTGGCTTGGACCTTAACCAACATTATTCACAATTTGGTGAGCATCCTGAGGGACAACTGTTGCCAGGCACAGACTGAGTTAAAGAGTGTTCCTATAAAATACTTGAGACTTGCCCAATGTAAGTAGAATAATTAGAATGCATACCATTCAAAAGAAACAGCAGCCAACGCTCAGATAAACAGGAAACAACAACAGAAAAATAATAAGGCAGAAAATAATAATCAGGGAACCACCAAGAAGGAAACTACACCTCCACCAAAACTGGCAGGGCAAGCTACTATGTATATAAACAGGCAGCAAACCCTACATTCACTCACACTGATTATGTTACCTAATTGGATAGGGAAGCATCTTCAAGCAAACAACTAAGCTCAGAGAGCACCAAGGACTGTATATGTAGCTCAGGGTTGAACTGTAGAGTATTTTCTTCAAATTAGAAAAAAATCTTTAAATTCATGAGATCATGTTCCTCATTAATGGCTAATGAGATGGTAATAGCAGAAAAATATCTAATTCTAGTGAAGTGATAGAGAACATTTACAACTTTTTAAAAAGCTCCTACCAAGGCCAGAATTTACACCATTATTTAGTAAAACAAAACATTAAAAAACAATTGAAATCATTCATACGGCTGCTAGACAACAGAAATTAGAATAAGTAAAAAGCACTGTTGCAGCATAAATAAAAGGTTGGCTTTACAAAGTGTGGGAAAATAGAAATCTATAATAATTGTAAACTGTCTAATGTAAAATTGATAAATAAATAAAAATATTAGTGTTACACATTTTGAATAAGTTGAATCTGGTCTTAACAAGCATTTCATTCCATTTAAATGACAGTATTTTTTCAGTATTCCCCAATTTCATTGCCATATCCATCTCCTAATGTTAATTCCTCACTTTTTTATTTGTTTATGTGTTGTATCGATATTTTTCTTTTAGACTGTAAGTTAAATAAATATTCTTCAGAGATTCTTTTTTTGGTTTGTATGTAAAGAGGTGAAATAAGCCAGATTTCTTCTTTCTTCCCCCCCCCCCCCAGATGTTCACATTTCTAGGATTGTAACATCATTAAGAGGAAGATTATGAGAGCCACTTTGGTGTAGCGGCCAAGATGCTAGGCTAGAAACTGGGAGGGTGTGAATTTTAGTCCTCCCTTAGGCATGGAAGCCAGTTAGGAGACTGGGCCAGTGACTCTTTCTCAGCCCAAAACCACAGGGCTTTCATAGGGAAAACAGAAGGAGGGAGCATTATGTACACTGCTTTGAGTTGGACAAAATAAAGTGGGATATAAAATTAACAAATACATTTATGTATTTATTTATTTATTTATTTACGTATTATATTTATAGAGCCACCCATCTCACACAAGGTGACTCTGCATACCACATCAAAAATAGCCATTGTCTTAAGTTAACGGTAATAGACAAATACATTTTATAAACAAGAAATTATAAAATAATTTAAAATCTATTAAAGGTGGGCAGTTGTATCTATATTCCTGATAAACCAAAGGAATAGAATGTGAATCGGATTTCCATTGTTGATTATCACTAACAGTTGAAAACTTTCTTGTGATTAAAGCACGAATTTTGACCAAATCATGCATTTTGGATTAAAATAGGATGGAGAGCCTATGGGATGTTGCTTAGGATGTTGCTTATTTATAGTTCCCAGTAGATATAACAATGTCCATGGGAAAGAATATTGTGTGTTGCAATCCTGTTGCATCTAGAGAACCGTAAGCTCCCCACTCCTGTATTAAATGTATCAAGATTTGCCACAAACATGCCACATGCATGCTTAAGCATATCCTAACCATATTTCTCTGCCATTGGACCAATGGTACACATATAACGCTTCCTTGAATTATTGGCAATTTGTTTTAAAGGGAGGGGAGAATATATCTCACAAGGTTTAGGTAGGTAGCTACTATACGACGCACCATTGTCTTTGTATTTGGTTGTAAGATTGCTATTCAGTCCTTACAACTTCTTTCATCACAGATCAAGCTGCAAGCTGCTTTATATACATATTTTAACAAAACAGGTGAATAAATTAACATAATACTTGTTAATTTTGTGAAGTCTGTAATCAGAAGCAAGAACCATTGGCTTCATGGGACTTGTGTAGAGTTACTGCCTTCAGCCTAACAAAGAATATTAAGATAAATTTCCCTGTTAGTCTTGTTGTTCATTCCTGTATAAAATATCTCCTGGCTTTGCTAAAACAAGTTGCTAGGGTGGAGTAGAGATAGCTGAAATCTGGGGCAGAATAAATGTCTAATTGTATATATTAATATATATATTATTTATATATATTATTTATAATAATATATATTATATACAATTAGACATTTATATAATATAATAATAATCTTTCTGTAGCTTTATCTTTCTGTAACTTTATCTTAGTATTCTTTCCCAAATGTGTATTAACCATATAAGCAAGTCAAGGAACAAATTCATATCTTAAAATCTAGACTAGTGCTTAATGCTTCAGATCCTTCACTCAGATTGCAGGTATTTTGTTAGTAATTAAGTGTAACTAACATGGGGGGGGGCGTGCCTTTGCAGGGAATGTATGTATTTTTGCATGCGGTGAAAGGAACGCCTTTTGAAACACCTGACCAAGGTAAAGCAAGACTGCTGACGCACTGGGAACAGCTGGATTATGGTGTACAGTTTACATCTTCACGAAAATTCTTCACAATCTCGCCAATAATTTTGTAAGTTTTTAAAATTCTACTGTGACTGTCCTAATTGCAGATTTAAAACAAATATTTTAAACAGTATTATTTGGTATGGTGTTAATACTGCAGTGAGCAAACCAGTTATCTAAAATCTGCAAATTATTTAGAATCAATATGTTCTGTTATTCGTGTATCTGTGAATTAGTGTGCTTTTCAAGGGGAACAAAATATGTTTTTGTATACTGAAATTTCTATAATGGAAGTGACAGCTTCATACATAGTAATGAAGATCTTGCAGATCTTCAGATCTTGCAGAATTGGGATAGACAGTGTTCTGTTACCAGCATTAATTCAAAACAAGTGTAACATTTCAGAAATAGTTTGTATTTCTCTGTTGGATTCAAAATGCCACAGCCTAATCTTCCATTTTACAAATAAGATTTCTTCAATTAACTAAAACTTAATATAAATAGCTGAGGAACATTACATGTCCAAAATCAATACTTTAAAAAATAATAATTTTGCAGTGTACCAGATACAGTAAAATGCAGTTGTCAGTCATGGTAAAAATGGAGCATCATCATGAGCTATAGAGGCATTAGGGCTGAAGACTTATAACAAGCCTAACAGCTATAATAATGTTCACTTCAGTAGGTGTTAGATAAGGCAACATTCTCATTACTATTTTATTTTTAAATTAATTTTAAAATGCTGTAAATATGAGCTTAGTGGGAAATTGCCAAGACTGGGAGATAGGAATATGGCATTGTGTTTATGCCAATGATAATTTTTAGGCCAAGGAACATTTTTCTTGCTATAGATCATAACTTGGATACCTTTTAGCTAAGCTTTCTCAGTTATTATGTTGTTTGAAAATAAATTGTCCCAGTGTGACTTTCTAGACCAGTGTTTCTCAACCTTGGCAACTTTCAGATGTGGGGATTTCAACTCCCAGAATTCCCCAGCCTTGCTGGCTGGGGAATTCTGGGAGTTGAAGTCCCCACATCTGAAAGTTGTCAAGGTTGAGAAACACTGGTCTAGACAATCATATTATAGAACAGCTTAAAAGATTTTGATTGTTGGGTATTGTCTTTAGTCATTCCATCTCTTGGTCTACATACAGATTCTTGCCTGTACGTCTGCGTTGTTATATTATTTTTAAATACCAGAGTAAGACAGTACACTCCTGCCACTATCAAAGATTTAATGCTAGGATGCCAACATAATTTCCTTGCTGGCTGGGATTGAGGCCATGTTCTCAGAACTAAATCATGTCTACACCTATTTCTTTTGAGCCCTTCTTTATATCCCAAAGTCTGTTACTATCACTGGAAACATGAGAGTGCCTGCATGGTGAAGTAGCTTGGTCGACAGCTTTATTCTTATAAAATACCCTTTTTGGGGGATAAGCACAGGATTATTAGTAAAATATCCTTATGTAGTATAAGGATGAAATCTGTGGTCCAAAAAAGCACCAGGTTATTTATTTTGTTTTATTTTCATACTCTTCAATTTCCAATGGACTCCTAGCAGTTAACTGCATAAAACCTCCAGGAGATGGTTACCATCCTCTTTTCTTCCAGCTACATTTCAGTGCTGCAATTGAAACAAAACTCAGAATTCTGTTGCTTCTTTCATAGAATATATTCACCACTTTTTAAACATCTCATGAAAATCCCCTTCTGCTAGTTACCTATTTGGGGAACTTGAATGTAGCTCAGTGTTAGCTCTTTCTCTGGGTGGATTTAATGAAATATTTTGAGCAGAGCTGAATTGTTCTGGGCCAAGGTAAGGGGCAGGGGGTGGGCTGAGGTAGGGGAGAGAAGCAAGGATATCAGCTGCTTAGATGAGGGAGGGCAGGAAAAATCAAGGACATTGGCACCCACCGAGGGGGAAGGGAATGAAGGAAAGGTACTAAGGGAATGGGACAGGTGGGTTGAAGGGATATGCTCTGTCAAGAGCTGCGGAAGAAAGGGGGTGACACACCTCAGCTCCTCACTGCAATTGGATTTTGTTTTGCCCCAAAACTGGCACAATCCAAAATATTCCAGATTTTGATTTTGCCACAGTTTGGCTGAACCACTGGAGTGTGGTGGTTTGCTTTGGTTCAAAATAAAATGCTTTTCCCATTTCTTGTACACCCCCCAAAATATTCTGCCATTTGGGTCATTTTGTTTCTAATATAAACAATTAAGTATAAGTAAGATTATTCTTAATCAGAGATTAAATGAATAAATGGATACATAAAAAGAAAAAGGAAAAAGATTACGTTATTTTGGAATAAAAAAATTGTCTTTTGCTCTTCTCTAAATTTTAACTTTCTATTCATTCTATTCTTCCTTCCTTCCTTTTTCTTTTTAATGCAGGTATTTCTTGGCAAGCTTCTACACCAAATATGACCCAACACATTTCATTCTAAACACAGCTTCTCTCCTGAGTGTGCTTATTCCCAAACTGCCACAGCTGCATGGAGTCAGGATCTTTGGAATCAACAAATATTAAGCAGGAGATGCACAATGAGCAGTCTGACCAAAATGTGACCTGGTTTGATCCTTGTCCTTGACAGAAGGAACAGCTTGTTTTGCAACTTATACTGTGTATTACTAGATAAGTTTCACAACTCTTTGGAGACTCTACTGCAAAGATGTCAATGCTGTTCTTTACAGGAGAATCAGAGACTGTCAGAAGATACATTAAACTTGATGACATATCTTTGGAGCACAGGTTTCTGTAAAGAGCTGGGCAGGCCTAGCTCCCTTAAGATAGAAGCGTTGACTGGAAATAGGCTGAAATAACAAGCGAGCTGAAAAGGGATTTGAGAAATTTTATTGACACATAGTTGTAATCTTTTACAAGTAAGTCAGCAACAGGAATGAATGAGTGGAGGGGAGAGAATATCACAATTCTTCGTTTACCAGACTGATATGATTGAAATGCTGTCAATTAGTTATCATTTGGGGGGTGTTTTTTGTTTGGGCTAATTTTAGGGCAAGGTTTTCTATCCAGCTTGAGGTGTTATATAAGGTTAATACTAATGAGTTGATGTGAATTTCATACCTTATCTATTCATGAGTCTTTTAATCAGAATGGCTTTTCCAGTTTGAGATCTTTGAACTCTGGGGAATGATATGTTAACTTTTCAGGGCGGTTATATACAATTAAACTGATTGGTATCATACTACTTGTTTTCCAGAAATAGGTGGACACTCTAATACATCTCATTCTACTGTATCTGAAAAACTTCCCTCATAAACAAAATCCTAGCATGAGAAACTAGCAGAAGCTACCTAAATAAACTGACAAGAATTTCAAACATCAAGCAGAGCATAATATGTTCTCATCACCAAGTAGGATTGAAGAAGATTTGGAGGAAGTGCTTTGGGCTTTATAGAAATGCAGCACTTCACTCTTGATTATAACAGCCTGACTTTTCCAAAGCAAGACTGAAAAAAAAAAAGATGCTTCTGCTTTACGGAATCCACTCATTAAATTTAATGTGACTTTTAAAGTGATCCGTGGGGGAGCAGTGAAGAAAGATGGGCAGCTTTCACAAATAACACAGAGACGGTGTGCTTGCCTGAGGTCTGTTACACTTTTTCCAGATCATTTTCAAAGCATGCGCAATCCAATCACCATTTCTGCATCAAAAGGAACTTGGTAGAAATTCAATACACAATTGTGCTTTATATCCAGTATTGTGAGTTTTGGAGCCTTTTGACGTAGGAATTTTAAGATCCTAGTTTCAGTAACTTAATCTCACTAATATTTACAGCAAAAAAATATTGGGTTATTGAAAGTGAATGAACAAACCAGGAATAGCTCTGCATAGCTGCTTCTTTGCCCACAAAGAAAGTTAGAGCAGTGGTGATTATGCTCTCAAAGTAAGAAATGGCTTCTTTCAGGTAATTACAGTTTCTCCTTGATCTTGCTTCCTGAAAATGTCTTTTAAAAATATTGATGTTTTATAATAATAAAGTGAATGACTTTGAGACTGATCATATCAATATGGGTCACTGTAAGTACAGTTCACTGTGATACACAGCACTGTACAAATTGCTGTTAAACTCTGTAAATAGAATTAGTTGTAATGTAGGAATGGTATTTTGGACTCTATATTAAGTGTATGCAGAACTGAGTAAGAAGCCTTTTTAGTGGTTACACAAGACCTTGATGTGGTTGGTTGTTTTTTTCCTGTCTAGTACCTGACTTTTATGGTTTATGATTTAGTCCAATTAAAATAATTTGTCTTGAAAAACATTGAATTTTAAATAAATGAAAAATGAAAAATCACTTTGTTTCCATTCAGTGAGAAATTAAAGCAGGTTATACAATACTAGCTTACATAAGAAATACCTAATGTATCAAAATCATGCCTCTGATATGGGAGTTATGTATCTGAAATACAGTTCCTTGCCTCCCATTTATTTCTGTTCAGAGCTCTGAATAATCAAATATTTTCTCAGTAAAAACTGGATTCCACTAAATCAAAATCGGCACTTACTGGGGTGATTGGTTTATAATGCAGGTGTACATAATTAACTGTACTGAAGGTCTACCCATTTTTGGATGATGTGCAATACTAAAATATTAAAACCATCATTGATTCCATAGCAGAGATGGGGAATATGGAGCTCTCCAGATATTGTTGAAGAAGTTGCTTGTGACTACCTGATGGATTCCCTACTCTGCCACACAGGACCTTGTGTTTCTCTTCTACCTTATTAATACATCCTACTGATAGAACATCCTAAAAATTTATTATTTTTAATGCTGTACTCCAGAGTAGGATTATGTCATTATGGAGTACTGAGTGTAGATTAATGAGAAAAAAAATGAATTTGAACGATTGTAGTATCAGGCTGCAATATAACAAAATTGAAAAAAGTGAAGGGGGTCTGAATACTTTCTGAATGCACTGTATATTAACGGTCGTCTAATTCAGTTAATGACATTCAGTTAATGACTCGAGCAATTACATACCTATGACATATGATATCAGATCATAGTAATTTCAGATTATTACTTGATCATGTTCTCACTAAATGGTGTGGAAAATTATTTCATTTAGAAATGGGCATGCTTCTGTGTGCATTTAGTATGACGTTCCAAGTAAGTGGAAAACTAATATTACACTGGCCAAAAGAAGACATGGAAATAGTTGGCTTTGCAATTAGTGGCTGTGCTAGCCCAGATATGTATATGCATCTAAGAAAAACAATTTTCAACATGAACAATACTATGCTATTTTTAATGGATTACCTGTCCCAGAGTTTTGGGTTTCAGTAACACTCATACAGTGAGTGACTGAAACTCTATAATTAACTTGATAATCACTGTACTTAAGCCATATGTTTGTATATGATACAGGTAGTCCTTGAGTTACAACCATTTGTTCAGTGACCACTTAAAGTTACGATAGTGCTGAAAAAATGGGCTTATGACTGGTCCCCAAAGTTACAGCTGTTGCAGCGCCCCTGCAGTCAAATGTTTGCAATCTGGGTGCTTGGCAACCCATTTGCACTTACGACCAGTTGCCAAGCATGCCACGATCACATGATCACCATTTGCAACCTTCCCTGCTGGCTTCCTACAAGCAAGGTCAATGGGGAAGCCGGCAGGGGAGGTCACAAGTCACTCTGGTAAATCTCCCCCACCTCCCCCAGCCCTTCTTTGTTTGTACGCATCACACCCTCCTTCCCCCCTTCACTTGCTGGGAGGGACCAAGCCTGGAGTGACTTGGATTGGGGTGGGTCCTCAGCTAACGACTGGTGGAATTCACTTAACAATAGCAATGGAGAGTGTCAGGATTGCCATCGCTAAGTGATGCAGTCACATGACATCTCACTTTACGACTGTATTGCTTAGCGATGGAAATTCCAGTCCCAATTGTGGTCATAAGTCAAGGACAACCAGTAGAGATAACAAATTACAAAATGATCTGAAAGGACAAAGTTGTATTGGCTGAGATAACGAAGGATAACACAGTACTTTGGAGAGCAAAAACAATCTCCCAGATGCTCTATAGTTCCCAGGTGTGTGCCTATGAGTAGTTAAAATCCAGTGGAAATTTTTAAGAGCCTTAACTCCCTTGATTCATCTCTAACGCAACAGCATGATTTGAGTCAGGGATTTTATCCCTTGTGAGGTCCTACATTTGTTGGCTTAATTAATTGGCTCAAACTAAGTTTTACTAGGGATATTTTACCTGCTGTAATTCTTTATGATAATTTCAGTTCAATCTGGAAAATCTAGTTTCAGAAGAATATATGTGTATATGGCTTCCCCAGCAAAGAACCTGTTTGGCTTTATGTATGTGAAATACTACATAATATTTTCTTTAGCTTACTTTAATGTTCTACCCATGGTAGTACTACAGTAGAGGGAAAATATAACAATATCCCTTATTCTGAGTAAGTATGCCTTTGTGAAAACACTGTCTTTTCTACAGAATTCCACATGCTGACCTTGTAACTCCCTTTATAATGAATATATCTGTAGCAGAAGAGGAGTGTATCTACTGTCTGTTATCAAACCAGGTCCCTGAGTCACTAGGACAATTGCATGTGTTATATCCCTGTTTTATTGGGCCACAATTTATTAAAACAAGCCTAATCTCTGCTATTATTTATTGTTGCATAATGTTCTTCCTCTGTGTTTTTCTTCTTTTATAGTCTGATTTTTCTATATAATCTAATCTTTGATCAAAATAAATTACTACTAGTTATTCAAGACAGTCTTCATTCAAAATGTTCTGAAACAAAATACAATATAGCTTCATTTGGTTCTTGAAATGTTAGAGTAGGGATACAAAAAACACAGCCTGAGAACTACAAGCAGCCCACCATAAATCATTTCTAGGACCTCCAAGAGCCCAACCCCAGGTGTGGGGTCAAAAAATTGCTTTCTCTGCTTACTTTGGAGTTAGGGAGGGAGGCAAAGCAACAACATGGGTGCCTTAAACTTTGTCTAGGCCCAGTCTCCCATTTAATTCCTTTAAACTTCTGAATCCCTCCAACAGGTCTTCATCTGACCCATTTTCATTTTTTTTAATAATAGTTTTATTAAAAATTACAATTACAAAAATAAAAACTAATACAAATTAAAAACAATAAAAGAATAAAAACAAAAAATAGAAAGTGCAGAAAAGAAAAATAGAAAAGAAAAACTAAGAATATAGTACAGAAAAAGAAAATATATTAAAAAATGACTTTCTTCATCACAAGTATAAACAATTTTAGTAACTTATCACCTTCTCTTAAAATACAACAAATT